AAAAAAAAGAAAAATATAAACATAAATGTAACCAATCATTCGATTTATTATCTCTGAGTATGTAGGCATACACGTTGGACAAGAATCATGCTATCGTAGGAGGGTTTTTTTTCTCTCACACATAACCAACAAAAATAAAAATAAAAAGAAAGCACTCAGGTGTAACGCTTTTGTATTTCGATCATTTTCCTTTCATGTATCGGGCGAATTCTGAATTGTATACACACATATATTAAACCTATTTCGTCTTCGATCGTCTTTAAGATATAAACAATAATGCAGTTGTATGGATTTGTTATTCTCTCAATTCTAGTGTTGGTTATCGAAGGAAACTTCCGAGAAAGTAAATAGTATTTTAAAGTAAAAATAAAAGTCATTCTTAACATTGTATTTTTTATTTAGATAATAATGATTTAAAAAGAAGTAAATATGTTTTATTTTATTTGTATTCATGTAATATTATTTATTTATAATAGAATGGGAAGCTGCTCGTCGAATTCTAAATAATAACGGTGAATCAAATGAACAATCTCAATGGAAAAATCGAGATTTAGTACAACGTAAAATATTTCACTAGTAATTTCAAACTTTATTTATTCATGTATTATTTTTTTAGCTGCAGGAAGTTCTACTGGAGTAACTGGCTCAGGTATTAAAATACATATTGATATTTTTTTTTTGTAATACTAAATAATATTTCATATTAGATCAATCTAAAGCATCCTTAGTGCAAGAACCAGTTCGTATTGCAGTTTTCAATGATGGTGATTATCATGCACATGTAAAGCTTAATTATATACTCAATGAACGACAAGATGAACAAGAACTTGAAGTTTCTATTCATAAAGGATTTGAACGAGATTTGATTCTTCCTCGTGCAGCAAGTCATATTCGTATACGTGTTATTGTAATCGGTATTGTAAATGATCAACTTCTAATCGATCGACAATTAACCAATTTTGACGGTATAAATGAAATATGTTATTTACTCGCAGGTGATCGTGTACGTCCAGTTTATGGTTTATGTGCTGGTCCTTATGCAGAATATTATAAATTATGGACAGGTAGAAATTAAAGTCCGTTCAAGTCGCCATTCAATAAACATCAAAATTATGAGAGATTTGCTCTAACAAATTTATCTTTTTTTTTAACATTTTTATTTTTCCATCTTATTCTATTTTATCTTTTCAACTAATAAAATGCATTTAGTTTCCTTAGACTCCATATATAGGATCAGTTTATCATACATTAAACAAAAGTTACAAGCAATAATAAGTAAAAATACAAAATAGTATTTTTGTGTGTTAGGTAAGGCTATACATCCTACGCATTTATTTGTTTACTTCATACATATGTGATATTTATTTTTGTTACTAGCGGCTTCTTTTTTACTATAGAATCTTTAGAAAAAGTGATGAAGTTCGACATAGAATCACTTCATTACGAGCAGTCGTATCATCATGAAGCCATTTTATTAGTAGATAAATTAGTTTGTGTATGTGAATTGAGATATATATGTGGTTGTTAAATGACAGATAGTATAACAATAGAAAACGACACAATGATTAGTATCTGCTTCTTTGACATGAAAGCATCGGTTTTCTTTGAAAACATCAAGACAAACACAAAAGTATTGGATGAAAAGAGGCAGTGATGTTAGATTTTTGTAAAATAATTTATCAATCAATTTCTTCTAATTTTTTATTATAGTTTTTTTCTGTTCATATGAATATAAATAAAAGATAACATTAGAAGAAACGAGTATATATATTTGCAATAAAATGTATACAAATCTTCAAATCTAATCACATGTCTTCAAGAGTTTTTCTTACACATTCGCTAACTTTTTTCTTAAAAGCTGGTCTATCATCACGCCACATTACTGATGCATCAATATTTGCTGCTGAATCACAGTTTGGATCGCTTAACATTGATAAAACTGATAAAAGGATTGATTCTAAAGATAAAAGAAAGCATAGATTAGGATAAAAAAAAAAAGAATCATTTGATTTTAATCTTAATTTACCAACTGATTGAACAGGTGACCAACGTTCTGAAGCTTTTTCATAACCAAATTGATCCACCCCCGGTTCGTGAAGCTAAAATGAATTTTTTTCATAAATTCACTTAAAAAGAAATATTCAAACTTACAATAGATATGCATACATCGCCGTTTTTTTTCAATATTTGGATGCCAGATTTCCGAAACAAATTTCTATAAAAAAATTACTATCAATGCAATTCTCAAATCTATCCTATTTTCGAAAAACCTTTTAAGAAGCCCGCCTCTTACTGCACTAAACAAACGGTATAAATATATTTCTACTCTCTGAGCATTGTAACTATCCAAATGATCTTATAGTCTATAATACGCTATCTCTAAGACATCCACCAGTACTTCAACGAACCAAACTAGACGTTATTAAACTATATAATTCATACCATTTTTGGTGGTTTAATTGGATATTCTCTTGGAAAATCCAATCGTGCTTTAAAAAATCCTCCTAATAGAAAAAGAAAACGGAATTTTTATTTGAAAAATCTAATTTTAAATATAACAACCTTCATAAAATGTATCAGAAGGTCCAACAAGAATAACATTCCATGCATATGGATTTGATTCATCAATAAGACCTGCACTAATACCTTCAACAGGATGACGATTTAATTCACGTAATTGTCTAAGAAGAAGTAATGCTGAAGCATCCATTAATAAACAAAAAAACTGATCTACAAAAAAATAAATATTTATTTAATATATGTTTCTTCATTTTCATTAGTTAAAATTGAAAAATGTAAATGAAAAAATATTATTACTAATTCTTCCAGACATAAGCAGATTTCTGGAAATGTCACGAACAAATTTCATGATGAAAACCAATGTTTAGATAAGGAATGTTAATTACAAATTTATTATATCGGACAAAAACGTCTTTGATGTTTAGTGAATGAAACTTTTATCGATTTTTTTTAGTGAAACAGCGAACAACAAAAGTTTTTCTTTTCAACACACAGAAGGAACCGTTTTTTAATTTAATGGCATGCTATGTGTAAAATGTAAGTTAAAATAAGTAGTCCTATTGAAATCTATTCATTGCAAAAATATGAGATAGATGGAGGATTAGTAGTAGCATTAGATTTTGATATTTTCTATAAAATGTTTTTGAGAACGAGATATTTGAAAATTATTTATACTACAGCTAAAAACAGAATGTGTTTTTCTAGTTACTCAACCAATTGTATATAATATACAACATATGTTACTCGTTAATGTTTTATAATAATAAGTTATGCATCTGCACATGAAGAAAAAAACAATCTCATTTTAATTTTAATTAGAATCTCACTTTCGCTAATGACGATTTAGTAATATTTGATAACTATCAACTAATATTGTTGAAGTAACGGTTCCTAAATAATTAATTTAATGAATTGATTCAATGATAAGACATTGTATTAACCATTGGATATAAAAATTTGTTTGATAGTTAAATAATTGTATATCTACAAATATAAACAATAATTTCTTGAAATAGGAATAGTTCAGAGTTACTTCTAAACTATACTATTAACTAATCTTGTATCTTTGTATCTTTTTTTTCTTTATTAACCTTTAATAAATAATTCATATCGAAGGAAAATATTCTTTTTCAATATAAGATATTACGAAAAATCCAGCTACAAGTACATTTTTTTTCATATATGTACTCATTCATATAATTCTATTAATTGAAAATCATATAGTATTATATCGATATTCAATATGCATAAATAATATCTAACTGATATTTTAATAAATAAGAATTAAATTCTATAATTTTATATATAATCTGAATAAGATTTATAACAATAAAAACAAAAACGAAGGTCATCTCTTTTACATCTACTACTACTTATTGCAACCACGCAAAACTAGTGATAACCAATCGATAAATATTTACTATAACTAACCAATAGGAAATAAGCATTGAACAGCTGATAGAAGTCAAACAATAGCGAACAAACGCCATCTTATATAATCTGACTAGATTCGTCGAAGAAAAAAATCTGTTTTTTCCCAAATAAATTTTAAAGGAATTATTGAATTTTACTATTCATAATAGAAAAATTTAAATACAAAATAATCTTATAAGAAAAAAACCTAATTTTTATTCTATAAAATCGATAACTTAATTAAAAGAATTATGTATTATTTAAAAATTGTTTCTTTTTTTTTTGTTCTTATGTAAGATGACTAATCGAATAAATATTTAGGTGCTGTATGGGATGATAATATGGTCCGATGTTGGGTTAACCTTCAGTGATAATAATCGAATAGATTCGAGATAGAAATGCATTCACCATCAGGAATAAATATATTACTTATAATAATAAGTATATTTGTTGTATTAATTGGAATTACTTATCAACCATTACCTGATAATTTTCCTCAACCATGGAAATATCGTTTTCTTTCATATTGGGCACAACGAATCGAACAATTTGTATGTGAAAAAATTTCTTTTCTTCATATATATATATATATAGGATAGTTTTCTATTTAGGGATATTTATGTGAACAAGCGAATTTATTTACTCGAATTAATCTAATACGAAAACTTCATTATCTATCAATTGGTTTATATCAAAAACGATATCCGGAATGTCATTTAAAAGTATAAATTTTGCAAAAAAAAAAAAGACAAATATATCTTATCAATATATTTCAGGTTTATGATAAAGAAATCTCTGGTATTCATACACGAATATATGAACCAGAAGAAATGATTAGTTATGAAAAAAAAACAACAATAATTTATTTTCATGGTGGTGGATTTGCTGTTGGTTCAATAGAAACATATGATCAAGCAACTTATCTATTAGCTAATTTAACACGTACTATCGTTATTGCAGTTGAGTAAGTTTATCATTGTTTATTTTAACTACAATATATAGAAGATACTATATAAACAAATCTGAATCGATATACAAATAAACTCTATTCAATGAAAAGTATCCGATTTCGTATTTGAAATAAAATATGAACAGTGTGTTTTCGCTAGGGTTGAATGCGTTTCATTTCCTTTTAATTATTTTAATAAATGAAATATTTCAATTTAGATATCGTTTAACACCTGAACATCGATTTCCTAGTGGTTTAGAGGATTGTTTAACAGTAAGCAGAGAATTATTTCAAAACGAAGATAAATATCAGATAAATTCGAATCGTATTATTTTATCCGGTGATTCAGCTGGAGGTAATCTAGCTTTAGTTGTTAGTCAATTATTAATTCAAGATGGATATAAACCATATTTAATTTGTTTATTATATCCTTCATTACAATTCTTAGATTTTACATTACCATCATATCGTATATATTTAAAAAAAAATATTCTTGGTGTTTTAAATGAGAATAATATTATTTTAATGATATCTTCATTGAGTGAAAATAATCTTATTATACCAAATGATGTTTTATTTAATACACATGTATCAAGTGATGATAGGAAAAAAACTTTATTCTTATATGGATCCAAATAAATATTTATCTATATCACATGAATTGAATGAAATTAAACAAGGAAATGAAAGTTTAATAAAATCTTTAAAATTTTTAATATCACCACTTATGTCTCCATTACTTGTACCCGATGAAGATTTACTTAAA